TTGTCTTACAGAGGGAGCTAAAGAAATAGCTCCTTGATTCATTGGTTCTACAATTAATTATTGAGCGATGCTCTGTGTTCAAACTAGCCTCGCACTATGAGATTTTATATGTATGAAAGGAAGGAAGGAAGGTTCCTTATTGTTGGAGTTGCTAGAGGAGGGTGTTGTGTCTCCAGCACGTGGATTAACGGAGAAGGGAGTGTTGCCAACTCCCAACATTATGGATCTATTAGAGAGGCCAGATGTAGGGGGTGTGGGGATGGCAAGGGGGCCAGAGAGACCAGCCAGAGTTGTAATAATAACTCAGATACTAGGTCGTGGCAGTACAAACAGAAAGATGGAACCAGGGCAAAGCACTATGATGACAGCTATGATCTTCTCCTAGGCCAGCACTGGTTCCAGTAGGACCGTGCCATCTCAGAGGGCTCCACCAAGAGTCCCTTCATTCATCTGTGTGGTGAGCGCTGTTGGCAACTCTGGTGTCCACTGTGTATCTCTTCTACTATGGCATCCCTAGGGTACATGCCATGGGTGTGAAAAAGCATTCAAGTGTGCAATAGTTAAAGAAAGTCCTTTGACTGTAAACATCAAAATTAACTCTTACTCAGGCAAGAAGGAGGATTTGTTGGGAGTATCCTAAGTAGTTGATAGAATAAAAGAAATTGCCGCAAACCAGACCTCAGAAAAGGTAAGACTCAGGATGAAACTTGAGGACCTTTTCTTCTGGGTTGAGCCATCAGCAATTCATTCCGCTCCAGCCTCTTGTCAGTTTCCCAGGGGAGGGAGAATGACTGTCACTGCAAATGTGACTGCCGAGAGATGCGCAGTTCCCCAAAGGAAGAGAGGATAAACAGAAGTTTTTAAAAGTATTCTAATCTCTAAAATGTCTGGGTTTGCAAATAATGGTCATATGTGCATGAGCTCAGGCTTAGGGAAGGATCAGATATTCCCCAGAATCTTAGATCTCCAAAATTATTGCTCACTACTACCTTGGGCAGACCGTCCACTCTTTCAAACTAATGTCTTATTGTTAAAAAGAAAATATTGATATTGATCAGAAGTTACTGCCAGCAATACCTTCTCGCTTGCATGCTCCTGTCTTTTCTCCCTACCTCTTTCTTTTCCTTCGTTTTGTAGTGGTCATCTCTTCAAACACATCAAGTGACCTGAAGTGACTTGATTTATATGCCTTAGCAGTGTTGGAGTTTTCGAGTTTGCTACTTCTCCCTGAAAGGCGGGTTAATGGGACTTTAAGAAGCACAGTGGCTTGGCCACCTTTGGGGAGTCCTTGAATTGATACTTCTTGCAAGTGCAATTTAAATGACAAGAAAAGAATACTTTCAAATCCTGTCTGTGTTCCAAGTCAAGTGGGTTTTTTGTTTTGGTTTGGTTTGGGTTTTTTAGAGATAGGATCTCACTCTGTCACCCAGGCCGGAGTGCAGTTACACTGTCATAGCTCACTGTAACCTTGAACTCCTGGACTCAAGCAATCCTCCTACCTCAACCTCCTGAGTAGCCGGGACTACAGGTGTGCGCCATGATGCCTGGCTAATTTTTCTATTTTTTGTAGTAGAGATGGGTCTCACTCTTGCTCAAGCTGATCTTGAACTCCTGACCTCAAGCGATCCTCCCGCCTTGGCCTCCCTAAGTGCTGGGATTACAGGGGTGAGCCACTGCACCTAGCCCTAAATCATAGTTTTTAAATCTTTGTCTATTTTCCTACTCCTCATCTTTTGCTTCCTGTGCATTAATGTATATGATGCACATGATAATCACTCAGTGTCTATTCATTTCTCCTTTTCTCTTCCTCTAGCTCCTTCCTCTTTTCTGTGTCATTCATCTTGCTACTTTTTTTTTTTGCTTTTTATAACAACTTTATTGGTACATATTATTGGCTCCTCGGTTTTGTTTTTTGGGGAACATTGTTTCTTCTATTAATAGTAAGTATGTGTATTTCAGGAGATTAACTGTCCAAATTTCAATTAGGCTCCAAATTGTTGTTACCTTAGGTTCTAAGTCTTATAAATATTGTCAAATTGTTCAGAGAGATTTTATTCTCTGATAAACTCAGCAGATTTTTCCAATAAGTAGATAGAGAACCATGTAAACACCTGGCTAACCATTGCAACTGATCAACACAGAAGTAATAAATGAGGAAATTCCAGTTCATGCCATTATTTCTAATAAGGTACTGAAGTAGCTGAGAATTGTCTTAATGAGGAACCATAACAATAAAGCAGTAAGGTAATCAGAGTGAAGGTAAGTTAGAATAGCAATCTCAAACTCTTGCAAACTGAGGATCACGTAGCATCCTTCCTGGATCCTTTACCTGTGGTCCTCAATGCCCAGGTCACGGCCCATTACCAGTCCATGGTCTGTTAGCAAATGGCCTCACATCACCACCTGAGCTCTGCACCACAGCCCTCCCATGACACCCCCCTCTCCACCCATCCCCAGTCTGTGGAAAAAATTGTCTTGCATGAAACCAGTCCCTGATGCCAAAAAGTTTGGGGACTGCTGCTTTACACAATTTCTGTTCCCATCTGTTTATTGCGATCAGTAATCCTCATATATGATTATAGCTGTCCTACTTGGAAGCTGTTGCTGGCATAAAGCATCCTTATTTACACTTTGAATTATTGGGTAAAGCTATTTATTCAATGTCTAACAAGCTCACAAATCTAGGATAGGCAAAATGAGTTTCCTTTCTCTACTCACACTGATGAGTTACTCACCTGCTGCTTTAACTGAAATGGCATCTTTAATGAGAGCAAACGGAAACGATTCTACTCTGGTCGCTTCACAATCTGGCATAGAGTTTCAAAAATGTCATATTGCATAGCCCCACCTCTACAAATCAGTTTTCGCAGTCAGCTATGTATTTTGTAGCATTTACACTTAACTGTAAAAGACCAGAAAAATGAAATAGATTCATATTGCTTACACACTTAAAAATAGCTGTCTTTAAGGTTATGTGTTTATGGTAGAGGCCAGGTAATTTGAGGAAGAACTTATAGAAAGGTCTCCAAGGGGTGCTGTTCAGACACTACAAATGCTGAGGTTGAAATTGGAGCCAGTTTAACTGCAGATTGGAAGGAACTGTCAGTTGCCACTTAACATTTGCAAGTGCAATAAAATTTATTTGTTCTAGTGCTCTCTAAATTATATTGCCTGATTGATTCCTTGAGGGGCCAAAAGCTAAATAGACTTAAATCTACTGAGATTTTGATAAAAGAAAAGCACTCAGCATTTCAGTTTTTCCTCTTGTGTGGGCAGTTACAGCCAGCCATATGTTTACTTTGTAAATTCCAGTTGAGGGTGCAATATAAGCTGTTTCAGTTTGGGTGGAAGTTTTGTCAGACCTCACAAATTAGATTTTTACTCTGTTAGGAGTTCGCTAGGATTTTTGTTTTGTTTTGTTTTGTTTTTTGCGGGTGCTGTGGCAGGTCCATAGTGATTAAGGACAACCTATTGCATTTTAAGAGTACATCCTGAACAGCTCTTCCTTGCAGTGGAAGGCATGATGGAATTAGAATAGCATCATTTGGTGATAACTGTCGTAATAATTGTCTGAAGCAAAAATCATCAGGGATGCTAAAACTTGTGGGTGAGCATGTAAGAAACAGAATATTTCTTACGGTCTCAAAGTATCTCTCCACAAGATATTTCTTAAATACAAAAGAGGAAGAAGTTACTTTATAGTGAAGTGACTTTGAAGACACCATCCTACCCAGGGGCTTCCTACTTCCCAGGGTGGGTCTGGGGATGGAAGGACAGAAGCTGTCCAGCGACAGTATCTTCTCTCCAGTCACACTCCCATCTGCAAGCTTGCAGGTATGGTGTCCCCTCCCTTCCCACGCTCCCCGTGATGAAAACAATCACTCCTGCTAACCAAAGCCAGCACTACCCTCTGTACTCAGAGTTAGATTCCATTCTGGTTATGTTTATTTGTTTGCTCATTTGTTGAAGGTTTGCTGTGTCCTAAGTGCTGGGGATTCAGCCTTAAGTAAGACAAGTCCCTGTTTCCTAGGATCTTATAGCTAATGCAAGTGACAAATATCTAAACAGGACAAGCCCAAAACAGCAGGGGCTTCCAGGAACTGCGCTGGTAACTTTCCCACTCTTTTCCTATTGCCCCGTACTGCATGGAAGGTCAGGGAAGGCTTCCTGGAGGAGGCAATGCCTGTGCCAAGAGTGACTATACATTAGCCAGGTAAAGCACAGCATCTGTTCAGGCCCCTGGATGAGAGGGACAGTGTCACCTCTGAGAAACCATGGCTCATTGAGTATTACAAGATCAGCTGACCCTGGGGAAAGATGGTAAGAAATGGCCCTTCACGGGTAAGGTGAGGCCAGATCAGAAAGGGCCTTTTGATCCCTCTTAAGCCAGTTGAACTTGATCAGACCCACTATAAAATGCCTTTGAAGAAGTCTAAGATAAGAAGCAACGCAATCAGACTTATATTTTAAAAAACAGTTGTGACATCATTGAAATTGGAAAAAGCATTAAAAGGCCAGAAAACCTGTTTACAGGCTGTTGAAGTCATTCAGGCAAGAAATGAGCACCTTTACTAAAACAAAAGCAGTAGTGATATAGAGAAATGGTTGGAATCCAAAGATGTTAAAAAGGTAGAATAGGGCTTTGGGATGGTGAGCTACCTGTTATAAAATTTTAAAATCTCTTTAGCGTCAGATAAAACAATCTTATCCAAAGTGAACCATTCGGTAAGAATTTTGGCTATGCTTCCAAAATTAAGAATTGATTTTGCACAGGTACTTACAATGATTAGCTCATTCCCAAACCAATTGTCGCCTTGAAAATTAGCTGGTAAAAAGCATGCATTTGCTAGTCTTTTGGCGACTATGGTGAGGTCACAGTGAAGGTTTTGTTTTTTGCAGCTTGTAAGAAAATGTAAGAACAGCGCGACTTTTGCAGATGTAGGTCCCCAAGTTTAGGAAATCTGCATCCTGCTTCAGGCATCTTTGGGACATATGCTGACCTGCGTTCCTTGGGTTGGCCCTGTTTTCTCCAGGATGGATCATGAAGCCGCCCAGCTGGAGAAGCAGCACGTACACGATGTGTATGAGAGCACGGCCCCTTACTTCAGCGACCTGCAGAGCAAAGCCTGGCCCCGCGTCCGCCAGTTCCTCCAGGAGCAGAAGCCAGGCAGCCTCATCGCCGACATAGGTAACCCAGCGTTGTGCCACATAGAGTGAGACGGCCTCTTCACAGGGAATGGCAAGATATTGGTTAAAGGGTTCAAAGCTTCAGTTATATAGGAGGAATAAATTCAAAAGAGAAAAGAAAAATACCAACAATCCAAAAGAAAAATAGTGAAAGGATGTGTGAACAAATAGTTCAAAAAAGGAGTAGAATACAAATTGCATAAAAACAGTTTGATAGGTAATCTACTTACATGGTTCAGTAACAAAGGTACCAAAGATGTACAATGCAAAATATCCTCCCTTCCCAGTCTCCTGGCACCAAGTAACTTATACCAGAGGTAACTGATGCTGTTAGCTTCTTGTGTGCTCTTCTTGAGATATTTGATGTTAATATAAGCATATTTGTGCCTGTGGGTATGTGTATGGGTGGATTTCCCTTTTTTGATTACACAAGTGGTATTATGCTGTAAAAACAATTACACACTTAGCTTTTGTTATTTTTAACATATTGTGGAGATCATTCCATATTTGTGCTTATAGAGCTTCTTAGTATTAAAAGCTGCCTAAAATTATGTGCTGATCATGCCATGTTGACAGATCATATGAGCCATTTGTTGCATTTTGCTAGTATAAATTTATGGTACAAATAATATTCTTTAAACACCCCTGTGCAAATCAACAATTGCATCTGTAGTAAATATCTTTTTGCCCATTTGCATCTTTTGAATTTTGTACTATTTACATTTTTTACTATTTAATAAATGAATAGTCATATTTTGATTATAAGATGAAAGATAAGTCGTAAAATGAAATTGAAATTAGAGAAGAAATAAATGGAAAGAAAAGAGTCCAAAGGGATGAGAAGAAGAAAAGACAGCGTGGTAATATGATTATCTCCAAAAGGAAATTTTTTTTGTTTCTAGGTTTTCTGCTTAGCTAAAATAATCCGCTGTTTGATATGTATATTAATCTGACTGGTTATTAGATTAGCAATTGTTAATTAATTGCTAATAAAACATTGCATTGAAAAAACATCCAGAGGCAATCAGGTTCCAGGTGCCCAGATAGGAATTCTCTGGGCAGTTTCACTATTTTAGTGATGAAACTTTTAGTTAACTAAAATTTTATTAACCACATCACCCCATTCCCCAATCAGGCTGACTTGCTGAAGTGTGTGATAATAGTTCCTGGGTAGAATAAAAAGAACTTCAGTGATTCAAAGACAGCAGAAATGCCGACGTCCTCTCAGGAAATACCGTGGCCTGTGCAATTACGGCATTACCTTTACCTGAAATGGGCTTGGTCAACTTTAGTCCATTAATGGTACACAGAGGGCATTCTGTGGTTTGAAATCTTTGCTTGGATCAGTTCAGAAAGTACGAGAAAGAGGAAAGCTGTGTTCTTTTTGAGCAAGATTCCCTTGTTACCTGACATCAGAGACAGCTATGCTAATAGCATTGAAAATTTTATTTTTCTATACATACTAAAAATTAACTCTTCAATTATTAATATACCTTTGCCTCTTAACTTTCTAGGTATTTATTCTTAGTCCCAATGGTCAGATTTAATTGGCTAAATCATTCTCATTCCTTCATTGAGGCAATGAAAATTTAGAACACCTGCTATGTGGCATCTATTACACTGTGCCCGAAGAATAAAACGTATCGCCTCATCTCTGGCCTCAAGAAGTGTATATAGAATGGGAAACAAATAAACTATATTCTTCTTTTTTCTCCTAGGAAAAGAGAATTCTCTTTCAGATAAGGTCTTAGGAAAGAACTCCTAATTTTAAAAACGTAGTGATTTTTTTTGCAAACTTCAGAAAGAGCATTCAGATTAATTCAGTTATTTTCAGCAAATATTTGCCCACCAACAAAACATTTTGTTGAATTGAGGCAATTATCTGTTTTCTTCTTTAGTTATGGGGGGGCACAATACAAAATCAAGGGGAACGTATGCATGCACTTTGTTAGCTCTCTGCAGTACTACACAAGGTCATCACTTAATAAGATTTTGCGGAGGAGCATGGTTGTGTATTGGATGGAGCTTGCTGTGGTATCGCTGATGTTCTGATTTACATGTAAGGTAATGGGTGGTTGAGTAGGCTTGGCAATATTCTTGATTTCCTTCTTAGGATAAAATCTTCTTCTCTCCGACATCTCAGCGTTTGCACTTAGAAAATGGATAATTGCATCATATTTGGAGTTCCACTACTACCCTTAAAAATGAATGCCATTAGAAATGACTATGGGACAAATAAAGAATCTGCTTCAGGAGCTGTTTAAATGTGAAAAGACCTCAGTTTCCTCTTTATTACCAAAGGCTCTCTGAACAGTTCCTCCTAGCTCTCACTGTCGATGAATCTGTTTTTATTAGTATCTTCAAAGTAATTTTCCCTTTCATGCCTCCCAGTGTATCCCTTAAGCCAATAAAAAAGAAAACTAATTTGCAAGGTTATTTTTCTTAAAATAGGACCATCATCTGTGAAATCTACAGGATTTCAATTTTAAAATACTTTGTGAATTATATTTTCCTCATCACTCCCCTCCAAAAGTGGATACTTTCTCTCATAAGCATTATTATGAACAGTGGCTATGAGATCAAAAATGCTTCTCGGACTCCAATCATTTGTATTGAAATGATAATATTGGAAATCTTATTTTTTATTCATATGCTCTCCACTGTCTCAGCTGGCGTCAATGAACTTTAATTTTGCTTTTATTGTCTCATAATTTTGAAAAGTGCCTATTAAGGAGGATTTATTAAGGGGTGTCATGATGTATTTCAGAAGCAGCAAACGAATCATCATTAAATAGTGGCAGATTTTTTTTTCAGGCAGAAAAATCTGTAAGTAATGTCAGTAGGTAGAAATATCAGTTCTAATGACTTCTTTAAATATTTCTGAAAAGGAATTAGCTTATATGTCTGTAATAGAATATCATGCTAGGTACTAGATTGTAGGCTTTGTTTCAAGATGGTTATTCATTCATGTTATTATCTTGTTCTTCATAATATCAGTAAGATCTGATTGATCTAAATCTTTGGGCTGTGAAAATCCTGAATTATTAATATTTGGGTCTCTGCCCCTGGAAGCTGTCAAAAATTGTCCATTTAAGAGAAAAATAGTTCTTTGTCAGTGTTGTGTGCTGAGTCCATATAGATTATTTTAAACCCAGCACTGACAATAGATTGGATAGACACATGTTTAGAATTCTTTTTTCATTCAACTTCGAATTTTAAATATTCGAAAAGCATATTTTGTTGTATAAATTACTTTTATAGCCATTGAAAAGTTGTTGACAGTAGTTTGTTTTACATAGTTAGCAGGTGGTAAGAATCTTTGGAGAGACAAGAGGAGAATAAATGCCATAACATACCTATATACATAATGAAATAGGTATGTGAAGATAAAGTCACTGCGCACTGTCTGTCCCTGGGATGTAGAACTATCGTCCCCTGCCATGGGCCAGCCAACATGTGATTGTGCTAGTGTGCTAAGCCCTATGGACAATTCCTCATTAAACATTCCCTTTCCCTCTTCCATTCTGTATGAAAATATGTGAGTATTGTCTAAAGGCTTTTCTTTTACTTCTGTGGATACCTTCACCCATGTCGGATTCTATCTTGATTAGTAAATATAAACTGATTCATATTCCTTGTTATAAAGCAAATGAATTATTTTCCACTTTCCATTAAGGGCACCGTGTAACACAGGCTTTCCTCTTACAGGTTGTGGGACTGGAAAGTATCTTAAAGTAAACAGCCAGGTACATACCCTGGGCTGTGACTACTGTGAGCCATTGGTAGAGATTGCCCGGGAGAGAGGATGTGAAGTCATGGTATGTGACAACCTTAATCTCCCCTTTAGGGATCAGGGCTTCGATGCCATCATCTCCATAGGAGGTAAGGCAGCCAGATCACACGTTCACCCTTAGCCATGAGAATAATTTACATGATTGAGGCCACTCTCGTGACTCAACATCCATTCTGTGTACAAAGATTTATGTGATTCGTTTTATCTCATTTAAAAAAATACATATTTCAACTGCTTGAGTGATTTGATTAATCTCAAATGCACTTATGGTACATATGATTTTTTTAACTACTTAAACCTTCAAACTGTTATTGTATTCTTTTTGATGATTCATTCCAATTTCTTTTACATATGAGTAAGAAAGTATTAGAGGAATCACAGTCATTGAAAATAGTACTTCATTATATTGAAATGAAGCCAGATTCTTCCAAAGCAAAGTAGATTTTTAGGATTCATATTGCCTTTTTCAGCCCAAAATAGTGCCCTTTATTAACAGAGAATTCTAGGACTAACACACTGAATGTCACCTGGACCAATCTGCCACTCAGTGGTACTCAAGTTCCTGGAGAAGATGGGTCCCACCTCGTCCCAGATTGCATTGTTTTTATGCCATTCTGTTGTCTCACTGCCAGAGATTGTTCCTGAGTCTAAGGAATATTTTCCTCATATTCTCCCAACAAGTATGCCCAGAAAACACACATGCCAAAAAATGACAAAAACAAAAAACAAAAAAAGAAAAAAATCCATTTCTGAAATATATACCAGTAAGGCTCATTTTACCCCATGTATGTATTCCTGACACCTAGTATATTCCATATTTAAATATGCTAGGAAACTTGATATTTCACTGAACCCTATGACAAGTTCTTTTGCAACGGAAAAATCTTTCACAAAGCAAATGACTTGCATCAATACACTTTAAAAAAACTAATCTATTTGAATATAACAAGCTTCATCAAAACAAGGCAATCTTATATAAAACTAACTGCTGTTCATGATGAAAATACAGAATAAGATTGTTTGCCCTCTCCTGAAACAGATGAGAGATCGATTTATTCAACATTAGACGGGGACTGCATCTTTGCACAGTGAGAGGACGCAGGCCTGGATGCCATAACCTTGGAAGTAGTTAAAATTGGCAAAAGATGGTTGCCATGGAAACCTGCTGTATGAAATTAGCTGAAACTACTAGGTCCATTTTGGTTGTCAGTATTAAGAGGGTTGTCTTAGTCTGCTTGGGCTGCTATAGCAAAATATCATAGACTTAAATATCATAGCTTAAATGACAGACATTTATTTCTCACAGTTCTGGCAACTGGATGTCTGAAATCATGGTACCAGCAAGGTCAGGTTCTGGAGGGGGGGCCCTCTTTCTGGATTGCAGGTGGCTGACTTCTTGCTGTATCTTCACATGAACAGGGGTAGTGGGGGATGGGGGCTTAAGGGGAGAAAGAGAGAGCAAGAGCAAGAGCAAGTTCTCTGGTCTCTTCTTATAAGGCCACTAATCCCACCATGGGGCCCCACCCTCATGACCTCATCTAAACCTCCCAAAGTCCCCACCTCCTAATACTATCACACTGGGGGTTAGGTATTTGATATATGAATCTTGAGGGGACACAAATATTCAGTCCATGACAAGGAGGGATTCTTGTTGAGCTAAGCAACACGATACATTGCTCTGAATCTTTAGTGGAAAAAAGGTTTGATTATTCCACCTAAAGAACTAGAAGTCGGAGAGAGGTCGGAGAAGTGTGTGTACTCTTTGCTCTTCTTTTGTTTACATTAGTTTCTGGGTCTGCAGGCTACCTACATCCAGGCCATGCTGTTGAGCCACTGTTGGGAGAAGGGGATACTGACCACCTCTTCTACCTTTGGGAAATGCTCTGTGTACCTGGTTAAGTCCTCTGTTTTCAGTTTGCATCTCATGTGTGGCCCTCAAAGAAAATGGAGGACACCTGGTTAGCATCTTCTAATTAAAAATACTTCCTTAAGTGGAAAAACAGCATGGATTTTTATGATCTGTAACAATGAATTAATGTGACATGGTTGTTTTCAGATAGATTTCACACTGAGAACTATAGTATGAGAAATTTCAATACACCATCTCTCTTATGTCCATATATATTTACTTCCCTATGAAAATTTTATATGTTGGCACTTTTTGCGTTTCTTAACAGGAAGAACATGTTGCTTGAGCCCAGGAATTTGAGGTTGCTATGAGCCAGGCTGATGCCATGGCACTCTAGCCCGGGCAACAGAGTGAGACTCTGTCTCAAAAAAAAAAAAAACAAAAAAACAAAAAACCATTTGGCTTGAAGGTTGTTACTTATTACATGTTAAATATAAATATAAAACATAATATAGAAGATTCTGATGTTTCCTGGATGAAAATAGATAGATCTAGCAGAATGAAACCTGCTGGTGACCTGTTCTTCAAACACATTTTACCCTCACACCTCTGGCATGGTAAAGATACCAAGGTTTGCGTGTCGTTGGCAGGAATAAAAACCTGATCGCTAGCAATACAAAATGTGCCTGTGGAATGATCTTTCTTTGACGGTTTTATCTATAAAAGAATCTCATCTGAGATATTTATTTATGAATAATATGTCTCTGTGGCAGGCTAACCACAGAGATTAATTTTCTTGAAATCACTGCTAACAGCTGGATTATGTGACCATTACAGGAACAGTTTCAGCCTCTGTCTCTGCCTTCACTACTCATATCAGAGGAGGCATCTCTCCACTTTCCTCGGGACTAATTTCCTCCTTGAGATAATGTGGCAGATCTGTGCGTGGAGAAATAATTTGATGTTTTCTCTTGATACGAGACTGTGATTAAACTCAGGAACTAGTGGACTAGCACTTTCTATATATTGTTGAATAAAAATATGCCTAATCACATACTTATGAGAAGATAAAGTTAGGCTTGCTTGAATCTCACTTTGACTTTGCAGGTATTGGAAATAAAACAATGACCTATCAATTGATTTTTTTAAAGAGACACAACTATTTTAAATCATATTAACATTTTAAAAAATTATTAGCAATCGTTTGGACTTCTGCTGGGCTGTTTTATCTTTGCATTATCTAGACAGAAAAATGATCTTTAACATTTTTCTCTACTTCCACGTGCTTTGTTAATTTTATTAACACTGTTTAGTGGTGTTAATCCTTCCTTGCTTTGGAAGTGCCAATTTTTTATTAAAACAATGAATTATTTCATAGAATTCTACCAGGGGACACTTAGTATTGCTTTCAGATTGTAATAATTCACACTGGCCATCCTTCTGGTTAACAAAATTCATAGGATTTTGGAACTGAAAGAGCACTCATGGATTTATGTGTTCTGGGCTGCTTATTATAGATGACGAAACTTAAAGTCTATAGAATTTAAATATTAATAACTTGCCTAAGATCAGCTGTCTAATAAGTACAGGAGCCAAAGGCAAAAATGGTATTTCTCCTAAAACTGGCCTATGCTGTTCTGGCATCCATCCCGCCACAGAGGAAATAAGTAGGTTTTGCTATGTGTCAAAATTTCATCATTGTTACATGGAAAATACTGGTATATAAATGTGTATGTTTATGTGTGTGTATACACACTGAGATCTGGTTTCTTCTTTTTCAGTCATACATCATTTTTCTACAAAACAGAGAAGAATCAGAGCCATCAAAGAAATGGCCAGAGTCTTGGTTCCTGGAGGGCAGCTGATGATTTATGTTTGGGCCATGGAACAGAAGAACCGTCACTTTGAGAAGCAAGATGTGCTCATTCCATGGAACAGAGCCTTGTGTTCCCGATTCTTCTCCGAATCCAGCCATTCTGGGAGAAAAAGGCGGTGTGGGCATCCGGAGAGAAGCCATCCCTACCATCCTCCCTGCTCTGAGTGTAGCTGTGCTGTTTGTTTCAAAGAGCACTGTGATTCCAAACGGTCCCACAGCGTGGACTATGAACCCGTCACGGCCAGAACCTGTTTTACAAATATTCCTAAAGAAAGCGAGGGAGAATACGGATTCTATAACACATTAGGAAAATCTTTTCGATCCTGGTTTTTCTTCAGATCTTTGGATGAACCAACTCTGAGGAAACAAATTGAAAGAGTGAGACCCTTGAGAAACACAGACGTTTGGGCCGATCACACTATCACAATCCAACCTTCCAGGCACTCTAGTCTAGACTTTGAACTCCAACAGCCATTTTCAAAAAAGGAGCAAAACTCAGATGAGGAAGTGTTTGTGGAAACTTCTTCTCGAAAACACTTGGAGTGGCTGAGAGCACCAGGCACTGTGAAGCGTTTAAATGGAGACCATCTAGGAGAAATTGGGAAAAATGGAGGGGGGAATTTTCTAGATAGCACAAACACCAATGACAATGGTGTAGATGCAAGCAACTTAGAAGGAGAAAGCCCTTCTGCTAGTAGTAGAATACTCAGGAGGATTTCTGCAGTCGATTCCACAGATTCCAACCCAGATGACACAATTTCTGTTGAAGAGCAACAAGCCGACATTTTGGATTCCAGAGCCTTTATGCGTTACTACCACGTGTTTCGAGAAGGCGAGCTCTACAGCTTGCTCAAGGAGAATGTGTCAGAGCTGCATATTCTGAGCTCTGGGAATGATCATGGCAACTGGTGTATCATTGCAGAGAAAAAGGAAAATTGCGATTGACTGGGTCATTTTTAGACAACTCCTCCAAAAGATGAACTGTATTCTTTTCACTAGGTTTGATATGGTTACTGGAATTTGCACTCAGTTTTATTATTTTTTAATCCTTTTATTCCGTGGTTTGGAAAGACTATAGATTAACTGATGTTTTTTATCTTTGAGTAAGCACAGAGGCCGGCACTGAAAACACTTGATAAAGGGTATTTGTGCTTAAATGTTAATGTAAAAGATCTGAAGAAGCAATAGAAAAATATACTTCCGTACAGTTTGGATTTCTTTTCCCCCTGAAAGGTGAAATTCTTATAAGAATATATGTCTATTGTTTTTCAGTATTATACACTGATTTTTTTAAAAGATCCTTCTGTTAAATATACCTTGAAAAACTGATTCTCAGGTGATAATTTAGATCTGTGTGCAAGATAACAGGTAAACCTGATCTATTGCACAGATTTATATTGAACCATGTGATTAGTTATTTTGATGCTAAGATCTTGCTTCTACTTAAAGCCTTTCAGAAAATTGAGTGAGAGTAGAGGGAACCAGAAAGTGTTATAGGATTTTTCTAAATTGTAAGCAAACTTGCTCCAGGAAAACTTGAAATACAGTAATAAGGTTTTCAGTGTTGCTCAGAAGGTTTTTAATCCATTGACTGCCACACTAGGGAAAAAAATACTGTTTTCCTCGGGGCCATGGTGTTTTATTATGAAAATAAAATAAAAACTTCAAAAACAAAACAATCCTTTCTAATTTAATGAAAAATTTATTTTTTATTATTTTCTGTTCCTGAGTTATATGCAACTTGAAGCATAGTTCTTGCGGCTCCCATGGTGAAGAGATGTGTGAGTTACATATTCTTCAGGAGGCCCCAGGCTCAAAACTAGCATGAGTTAAATACAACCCACATGGCAGTTAATGTGTTAAAGGCACTGTTAGCACGTAGGAAGTGGAGTATGTAGATACTAGGAGTTGTAAGTACCCAAGTGATATTTTTCTAACCTTATTAGAAGCATGAATATCCAGTTAGGAGAAGATCAAGATTGACTGATGGGGAGTTTTCATCAAGAATCACGCTTTTCATATTAATCAAAGGGATATTTGGGAAAGGAGAAGCTAGTTGAAGCACTGTTCTATTTTAGCTCTGAGGACAAATAAATTGTTAAGGTGCAGGATATTTATTTAGCCTTGGTAGAGGTATGACTCAGATTTATTGTTGGATTTTTAACAAATAACATCTGAGCATTTATTTTATTGAAGGTGATCGCATTTTGTTATGTTAGGGATTTAGGCAGAATCAACTTCTATTAATTAAAGGTTGAATTTCCATCACTTTATAGAGAAATCAATAGATTGGGCGTTGTGTGGTCACTGCATCTATTTAGATTTAACTATGGGTCTGTTTAAATCTATGTCATGGATCTTGAGACATAAAATTCAAATAGGACAGGACATGTAGGAGAAGCAGAAATACAGTGACCCAGGAATATGGTCTCAGACAGTTCCTTAATGAGTAGAAAATCGACATTTGACATAAGTCCTTTTACTTTACGCGCCAGTAATTCTGGATGAAAATCCAAATCTTGTTTCATTTTTCCACTAAAACTAAACTAAAATTATAAGGAATTTCATTTGTTCTTGGATTCTTTTTTCCTTCAGTGATTATGCTGTTACTTAAAATAAGGATGCCACTTTCGAAGAAACTGAAAGGATTATTTTTAACGTGAATCTGAAAATCATTAATGTTTATAATTCTCTTTTGGCTTCACAAGGAGATTGTGTCTTTACCATTTTTAGTAGATGATGTTGTCTGATGGAAGCACTACCTATTAGTATTCTTGTGCACATTTTACATTAAAGGAACAATGAAAACAGACACAGAAGGGGAGTAATAATTAAAAATTAATTTAGTGTCTTCCATTTCCTAAATTAGGACATTAAACCATGAATATAAGTGGTTTTCTTAGTAGGAAGAAAAGATTCTCAGAGTAAAAGATGTTCTTACAACTAGGGTTTAATGGCCTTTTTATTACGAATGGATTTTTCCTTTCTCTAAAGCCTGTTGTTACTCGTATCTTTAATCCTGAAGTCATCTCTTTCTGGTAGTAGCCTACCACACAGAGGTTGTTACATGGTGTAATTCAATTTATTAGATGGTGCCAGAACAGCTTTTGAGCTAACCTGTAATAGGCAACCTCTTACTTATATGCACACTACTTTGTGTAAAAGAGTTCTCTAGAACAGTCCTTGGGAGATAAATATTTTTATATAATATTGACAGGGCTGTAGAGAAAACACCACTAATAGTAGCAGTGTTTTGTTGTTCTTTTGCTGAACACAAGAATCTGTGCATCCAGACATTATTTTATATACAGATATTTAACTCAGTGTTTGGTAACCTCTCTTTGGGATATTCCTGTGAAAAGCACTTTTAAATTTAACTTCTGCCTTTGGAATTTTAAAAAGCCATTGAAGAGTCAAACTATTGATGTTTGATCATTTAAAAAGCTTGCCCATATGTACGATTGTCTTTAAAAGGAAATGCAAGTCATAAATGAGTACACATGTAGACAGTTTATTTGTTAATCAATCAATCCATCAAGCCTTGATTGCTTGATTGTAGACTTTACCGATCTAGCTGAAGAAATTTGAAAACTTATTTCATTATTAATAATAGACCAAAGAGTGTGTTTCTGATTCCTTCTTCTTTACTTACTGGCATCAGCACAGAGTCCGACTATCTGAAGTAGAGGGGAGGGTTTGGGGGATTATCAGAGAGTCCTTAAAAATCTTTGCAAATTTGGGGAATTCCATGTAAACAGTCAATGATTTGTGGGAAAGTGCGTTAACACAGACAAAGGATGCTATCAAATAATATTACAGTGGGAATCATGTAGGTGGCCTGTTTAAATTATTATTTTTTCCATTGTCAGTATAGTGATGAAATTACACCAGCATGTCATCGTAACTAACAAACTGCTCAAATATCTCAGAGTATCACATTGATTTGATCCTCCTTTATTGTCATACATCCCAATGCAGAGTAGTGTTAATTCTTGTTTCTAGTTTGCTGTTTTATTTCCTTCCAAATTCTTTTATGTGCCAAGAATTCCTCTGCCTTTTAACTGACCATTAATTGAATGGGCAACAATTTGGAGGTAATCTAGAGAGAAAATAATCCAAATGTAAATCAGCTAGGAACATTAATACACTTGTATATTGATGGCCATACAAAGAATAAGCACTGGTGGATTTTTGACAAATAAATGTATATGGGTTTTGAGGAGACCAGAAAGTCTAACTCAGTAGTTGAACTTGGGTGGAGGAGGGCACTCCTTAAAAATGAGCTGTGAACACCCCATTTGCGAGGAAGGAGGAAATCGGGACCAACTACTAGCCAAGCAGCTACAGTCCAGGAAGAACAAATCAGGGCAGGCCTCAATTTGCCTTTCCCATTACATAGAACGTTTGACATACTAATAACAATGGCCATAAACTTTTCTTAATATCCAGCATTCATTATTTTATTTGTGATCCTCACCACAGCCCTCTGAGATAAGTATACTTATTGTTCCCGTCTTGCAGATGAGGAAAACCGAGGCAAAAAGAAATTAAATGGCAGAGCTGAGCCTCAAACCCAGGTCTAATTCCCAGCCTGTGCTCTTAACCACATCATACACTCCCACTCACTGGGACCCAGTTACTGTGCTAGGCAGATTATAGGAGCTTTTCAAGGCAAATGTGATTATCTCCTTTACAAACGAGCTTTAGGAAGGTTAAGCAAAGATTACACAGCTAGACGGTAATTTGATAGTAATCCCATACATGCTTTCTCCCATCTTTTATATTTGTTTATATTTTCACTTGTAAGTCTGTTTCAGTTTGAATTTAAAAAAAGTTCTTGGTCACAAAATATTCTCTGATCACTTTTCACCAACTCTTCAATCCTTTAAAAATTTTATTACTATGTTCCCATTTTATAAGTTAGGAAATTGAGGGCTATTTGATTACTGAGCCCTGCCGTGTGCCAGATATATATGGTACGAGGCGATGTACAAAGAATATTAGAATTCACTGACCTAAAAGTGACAAGATGGAACGTTTTTTCGTATTTGTTGTGTACCTATTAACAAGTTATATTGTTTAGTTTGAGAAAAACAATATACAAACCCCACTCTTAGAGAAGCATAATGCATACTAGCACATTTAAGACCTACCCTAAAGTAAAACTGGATTTAATCTAACTAAGCTTACATAGACATATTAACATCCTCTAGCACAAGTGTTCTGTGGAATATGTTTCAGAAGAGAATATGTCCTACGGAATAAATGCAAACTCCTTTGGATGGCATTCAGGTCCTTCGTAAACTGACTCTAAATTATTTTTCAGCCTCATTTCCTGCAATTGCACCCAATTTTTTTCTGTTCTGCAATCTGCTATTTCAGACAATGGTTTCATTAGACATAATCACAAGTAATTATCACACCTTCCAGATTTATACTTGGATTTCAAATGCCATAATTGTAATCCTTCTCCAAAGAAAAATGCATGAAACAGGCTTCATTCCATCTAGAGGCATTTGAGAGATGTGTGATTACACACCCATCCAACAGATGGAAAAGCCATGGGAGTGGAAGGGAAGCAGAGAAGCCTGGGCAGACCCTAAACTGGAATGCTCAACTCCTCTCATCGCAGTCTTAACTCAAAGTTATAATTATTGTTTTGACATTATAAACTCCATATTTGCAACCTCACTTATCTACAAAACTGGAGTGGAACACTTGAAAAGCACTCTCACCAACAACGGATTGAAATTATAATGCAAATAGCATTTGGCATGAGAGCACAAGAAGAAACCTAAGAGAGCTAATCAAAGAGAAAATACTGACTGTGAATTGTCCTATTTTTGATTCCCCAGGGCTCCAACGGTATGTGACACATTAATAGGGATGTGAATCATTTCAGTAACAGCACATGTTCTGTCCCATCTTGACACAGGTCTTCCCTA